CACAATCCTACTTCCCCTAAACCCTAAACCCCTAAACCCCTAAACCCTAAACCCCTAAACCCTAAACCGACCCGTAGACGAGACTGCGCCCTCCTCCTGTAGCCACGAAGTATCTGTTTTCATCCATCCCTAGGTAGGGCTTTGGGACATTTTATATTTTCCCTTATTGGGCTTAAGAGTATCTTGTTTACTAATATTTTTCAAAGGCTTTAAAAGCCCCACCTAGATCCAGCTCCACAACTCTAAACTTCAAGCCTATGCACCGAGATACCTGAACTCGGCATCCTTAACCCTAAAAGCTAAGCCAGCTAAGCTTGCTGAGCCCAGAAAGCTCAGATGATATCTGCGATTTCTCCTAGGTTGGGTTCAGGCTCTAACTTAGAGGCCCTGCAGAAATTCTTGGAAGAGGGTTCCTGTGTATAACTGGGACTATCAGGGGATATCACTACTTATTCCATCTCCTTACACACAAGCTTTTTGTTCAAGCCTTTCCTGGCTTTTGAAGGATCCTAAGTTCCTGACCACCGAGGGTGTAGGCAGGGTCCACCTTTCAGCTTGGCGTCTTGTGAGGTTTCTGGAAGGTAGGGTACCTTGAGTTTTGGGCGCTCGGGGCTCGACCGGTGAAATGGCCCGCCGGTCTTTTGGCCCGAAAGAGTTGTAGGACTGTAGGTTAGGATAGACGCTGCAAAGACTTTCCGACCGGCGCCTCCCACTCTAAACCCCCAGCCCTAACTCTCAAGACTCACTGACGAAGCTGGTGTCGTGGTTGTTACGATAAGGGTTAAGCATTCAGATTCCCTACCCCTTACATGAACCCTAGAACCCAGTTGCAAGTAGGACTACTCCACTTAGGGTGCCACAGCCTACCTCCTGAGCCTGACAAGCTTTAAGGAAAAAAACCCAGAAGAACGACTCGAGCCCCAGGCCTGTTTTTTGCCGTGAGCAGCTTGTGCAGCTGTGTTTTTTGCGCAATGGCCACAGAGATTTCGAAGGAGCTGTTCGAGTCGCGTGCAACTGGGCAGAAGTTGACCCGGGGCTGTGGCGAAATCGTGACAGAGGTATAGCAGGAGTTGATAGACTGGAGTTTCGGGCTCTATCAGGCACATCTACTGGATCCTTAATCATCCCGCTGCCACTTTTCAGGACACTCTACTACAGACTGATCTCGGGATCGCCGTAGGTAGTATCGAAAAGGGCAGCCAGGTCTTCCCCACAGAGCAACCCCCACATGATGGCCTGAGATTCACGTTGGTGCGCAATGTGTGATCCTGTGAGGCTTTCTACCGGGTTTCCTTCTGGACTCATAAAGCGTACGGCGGGGGTCGGGGGGTTAGGGTTTCCCGACTCCGTTTCAGCTTCAGGGTTTACGGGGGTTCACAGACGTTTTTGGGCCTGTCCTCGGTATTCAGCGACGGCATTGTCCCTCTTGCAGGTTTAGGGTTGTAATTGGCCCCCGTACATAGAATACCATGGTTCGAAACCACTTAGAAGGCATGAAGACCCTAAACCCTAAACCGACCCGCACTTTCAAGCTTCACTCAATCAACCCTTGTCTTGAGCCCTGTATTAGGATTCAATTTGTTAGGTTTAAACTATTAGTACTTAGGGGATCATGGGACTTAGTAAGTAGGGCTACAAGTACCCTAACTGGGGTTATAAGTAATTATAAGTATAATTAGTTACCCTACCTAAACCCTAGTTACTAAGTCCCGTGGCCCTTTAAGTAGTCCTGTTCCTTAGGGTTCCATGACATAGTCTTGCCATGCTTTACCCCTCCAGCCCCTATTCTTCCTATCATTACTACCATTATTTTGATTACTACTTACTAGTCTTACTATTATTAACATTATTATTCAGGCCTCCGAACATTGCAATCTTTGAGACTGGCAGGGAAGTTGAAATGGGGTCGATTACAGACGACTGTCCTTTTCATCAAGTGGGGTTTGAGGGTTTAGGGTTTAGGGCTTTTGGGGTTTTATGTTTAAGGGTTTGGGGTTTAGGGATTTTATGGGTTTTGGGTTTAGGGCTTTTAGGGTTTGAGGGTAGGCCTAGACTTGAGCTCTGGCTGTTACTGTTGGTGGGCAATATCCTTCGTTACCCTCAGTACTTGGCATTCTTCTGGTTGGCTCTTGGGACTTTAACTTTTTCGGTTTCTATATGGACTATAAGAAGGAGGCGAAACGTTTAATTTTTAGGAGGGGTTCAGAAGTCAGCCAAGAGTTCAGAATCAGGTTTAGGGTTTGAGGCTTAGTTCAAAGGGTCATGGGACTTAACTAGGGTTATAAGCAAGGAAACTATACCTTTACCTACTTATAACCCCAGTCAAGGTACTTAACGCCTTACTTGCTAAGTCCCATGACCCTCCAAGTAAACCCTAAACCCTAAGCCCTTATAGATCCCTTATAGAACCCTGAAAGGAACCCCATTTTGGAACCCTTTAAGTTCCTAAGTCCCATGATCCTCCAAGTGGGGGAATGCAGGATGTTGGCTATTGACGGTATGGGAGTTTCCGAAAATCGGGCGTACCTCATTTTGGGGCCTTACACTAAGGATCCTACTAAACAGGGTACTATATTAGGGTCCCCTATTTTCGGAAAATCCCAAACCACCCTAAACCCTAAACCCAAACCCCAAACCCTCAGCCCTAAAACCCTCAAACCAGAAACCCCCTTTGTACCACTGGTCCCCTATTTTCGAAAACTCCCGTATGCGCCTCAGGTGCAGAGACTGGTGCAGCGATGGCCGTGGCCCTCGGCAGATGCCTTGCTGCTTGATCCAAGAGTAGGGATTTAGGGTTTAGGGTTTACGGTTTAGGGTTTAGGGTTCAGGGTTTGCAAGAAACAGCAAACAGTCTGTGTTCTTGAGCTGCATTCCTCGACACAGTCGCTGCCTGCAGCTACGTGACTCGAGAAAAGGATTCCGCTAGAACAGCTTAGGGGAAGCACTGTGTATCACCGTGCCATTGCGAAGCTGAACCGGATTCTGTATCTTGATACCAAAGCTTGTGATCCGAGGGCTACCGTCCTGTGCTACTAGCAAGCGTCCCGCTTGCATGGTAGCGGAGCCGAAAGGCTCCAGAAGCAGTATCCAGGGACCTAAGAAGACTTTGAGCTGGTCACGCACGGCCTGACCAGATGACAAGTGGGACGACGACGAGTCCAGGACGGTCAAAAGATGGCGTCCCCATTTGGGACGGGAACGCAGCCACTTTCACCGCCTACGAGGAGGAGGTGATGACATGGGAGCAAGGGGTGCCTTACCACAAGAGGTACCTATGCGGCCCGCGACTGGGTTTCCTTCAATGGTGGAGTGCAGGTGTTCCTCCAGCATCTGCGACAGAGTTTGGGTCGACCCAGACTCCCCGAGGCGACCGACTTCCTCAATAAGTACTTCCGGAATGGGCGCCGGAAGTATGGCGAGAGCATGAATGACTACATTACCAGGAAGATGGAAACGTGTTGGCGAGCCTGTCAGGCTCTCCAACGAGTCATGCCAAAAGGGAAGCCAGCGGGAACTCCAGGATCATGGACCGGAGGTACAAGTGCAACCGGACCCTCACCATGGGGAAGTCGCCGCGCCAGCTGGACCTCCAATTATGAGGACGATGATGGTGATGAACACGATGGCGATGAAGATGAAGATCGCAGCGCCGGAGACCGAGGATCAGGAACTACCACTACCGCGCCAACGTGGAGTTCATACAACAGCTGGTGGTCATGGAACTCGTGGAACTACGGCTACCAGAGCGATTGGAGCGACTACTGGTCGAACCGACCAAGTCAGGTGCACTCAGGGTCCGACAGTACCAACCTGGAACTCCTTCTACCTCGGCAACATGAACGAGGACTACGATCAGGACGAGAACGAGGACGACACCATCGAGGAGCTCTTCGCCGTCGGCGAGGACTTCACCGAGGAGGAACAGAATGAGCTCCAAAAGAGCCAACAGGAGATTGAGAGTGCACATGCCATCATGCAGGACGCCCGACGCACCCTTCGAGCAGCTCGCGAACGACAACACCAGGTGAAGATGTCTCGGAAATTCTTCCGGGGGCCTGGGAAGAGCACCTCAGCACGCCCTCCCGACGATAGCACTATGACATGTTTGAAATGTGGAAAGGTCGGCCATCGGGCAAGGAATTGTCCCAATCCCGAGGCTCCCAAGAACAACCAGGGCAAGCAAAGCGAGTCCGCCCCCTTCGTGTGTTTCGCGGGACAAGAGCCACCGGAGAATGAGGCGCTCTCGGCCTCCAGTGGACCTACAACCCAGGCAGCCATCACGGAAGGCTACTGCGTGGTAGATGGTGGGGCGACTAAGACTCTTGGTTCCGTGAAGGCCTTGGAGGACCTGTTCGCCCGGAACCTGGCCAAGCACGGCAAGACGCGATTGCAGGAGATCAACACGAAGGACAAGCCAGTGTTTGGTTTTGGGAACAGTTCAGAAGACCAGTGTGTGTCAACCATCAAGTTGGGCATCCAGGCCAACGGTCAGCCGGGACAGATCACAATCCACGCGCTAGAAGCGGGACAGGGGCCTATCTAGCTATCCGTGGAGGCACTGCGGAAGTTGGGTGCGATCATAGATTTTGAAGAGGACCTGGTTACGTTCAGGAATCTTGACAAGTACAAGGTCGTGCCGCTATGCAGGTCGCAAACCGGCCACCAGCTCCTCGACCTCTCGGAGGATTTGTTTTCGAAAGCCCTGAGCACCAACAAAGCGGTGCCTTCTCTAAAAGAGTTCATTTAGGGACAGCTCCTTCCTGATGCCGACCCTGACGACAAAAGGAAGGACGAATTGTACAGTTCAGGGAACACAGATGTTCAGAGTTCTAGAGTGGAAGTTGGTAGTGGTAGGAATCATGCGAGGAGTGTTTCTGAAGATTTCTTAGTCTCTGCTTGCGGTGAGAACGGGAAGCAGCTCTCCCAATGTGGTAGCCAGTGTGACAGCTCAGAAGGATCTAAGCTCCAGCCCTTCCGGGAACCTTGTGCAGCTCACAGCCATGATGAAGATGTCGATGTCCCAGTTGCGCCAGGCCATTCAGGAGCGGGGCGAAAGTCCGCCCCAGAACTGGGGCAAGATCGAATTGCGGGACCGCCTGACCGAGTTGATGAACGAGGCCGGGGAGTCCACGACTACGAAGACCAATCTTCGAGAGTGGGTGTCCCAGTTGAATCGCGCAAGCCGAAAGAAGCAGGAGCTGATCACCTTCTGTTCCGACCGCCTGAAGATTGCCTTGACGGGTCACGAGACCATCCCGGTCTTGCAACAGAAGGCCATGAAGGTGATCTACAGCGTCTCCATTCCCAGCGCCCTCGACACGGTGGGGTTCGGCAAGTTCGCTTCCAAGACCTACGGCCAGATTCTCCACGAGGAGACCAAGTACAGCCAATGGGTGCAGGAGACCTATCTCGAGGGAGGCCAGTCCTGCGAGATTCGCCTACAGCGGCTGGCCACGTGGTTGATCGAACAGACCGACCGCATCTCGGAGGCCGAGGAGGAGACGCCGCACAAGATCACCGACACGATTACGCCCAAGGTGACCGACAAGAATGCCTGGGAGACGGATGTGTTCCTCAAGAAGGACAATGGCAAGGGCCGTGGGAAACCCTTCCTTGCACACAAGGATGCCGGCTATCGCAAGGCCGCCGACAATGGTGCGGCTTCGAGTGCCAGTGCCAGCAGCGACAAGGAAGACCTCAAAGTGATGAAGGAGACGGTGGCGGCTCTGAAGGCAGAGCTCAACAGCCTTCGGGGCATCATGTCTCCCAGCGATTTGCCACGGAAGAAGAACAACGAGGCCGAGGGCAGCAAGGGTGCAGACACCGAGGCGACGGAGACCGACCAGAGTTTCCAGATGGTGATGGACCCCTAGATGGTAGTCAGGAAAGGCTAGTTCTGGTAGATAGCGAAGGGCAGGAGAACCTCCAGAAATCGGAGGATGTTGTAGGTACACGGCCTCTGACGGCCGGCGCCGCACGGCATCTGGAATCTGAATCGTGGAGTGTCGTTCCAAAGATCTTCCAAGGGCTAGCAAGCCATCAAAGACCGCTACTCTTGGAGGTAGCATGTGAGAGAGAAAGCGTGTTGACAAAAGCAGTGCAAGAAGCCAAACATGACATGCAAGCCGCCAGTCGAAGTTCCTTGTTTGACAGTTGCGAGTTAGGAACGACAGAAGGGATCAGGATTGTTCTTGAACAGATCGAAGTGGAAAACCCGTGTCATGTGTGGCTCTCTCCCCCTTGCGGTCCGTACTCCCCCATGCAAAGAACCAACCAGCGCAGTGAACAACAGAAACAGGAACTTGAGAAGAAGCGGAGAGAAGCTCTGAGAGTGTATGTGGGTTGCAGTGTCATCTTGCACCATTGCATCCAGAAAGGCATACATGTCACATGGGAATTGTCCGAGCGTTGTGATGCCTGGAGGTTGCCGTTGATTCAAAACATTCTGCGACGGTATCAACTGTACACCGCGGTGTTGAAGGGATGCCGGGTTAACCTTAGGGACAACAAGAACCGACTTCTCCAAAAGGGTTGGAAGATCATGACGACACAAGCGCGCATGGCTGAATTGATGAACAAACCTTGTAGGTGCCACGGGAAGTACGAACATGGGCTGTGCGAAGGGGCCATGGCGGGGAAATCAGCTTGTTACACGCCGGAGTTCACGAAACTGGTGGTGAGCGGATTGCAACAAGAGTTGAGTTTCTACGGGGTCCAACAGGAGGGGCAAGGTATCTCCCAGACGCCTGACCTGTTCGGTGGCGGTGAGACTTGCGTGTGTGATGCCACCTGTCAGTCCGGACATGTTCAGACTTGCAGTTGTTGTGTTCTTGGTAGGGAACATGTGCCAGTGCTGCATGAGAGTTTCGTGTCTGAGCAGAAAGAAGAGGACGAGAGTGAGAGACAGGCACGAGAACATGTCAGTCGGGGAGAGTTGTCTTTCAAACATATGGACCAATTCCTGAGCACCTTAGACCTGAACCTTCCCCGAAAAGGTAGAGGGATGCTGGGAGGCACGAACACGAGGCCCGCTTACTTCCAATTTGGGGCATACAGCTACGGCAAGTTCTCAGGAAAGAGTCATAGGACCCAGGAGCACCCAAAGCTTTGTCACTACATTAACGCCTTCTTGAAACATCATCTCGGGAATGAAGCTACTTGGTCATCATTTGTTATCAGCATCGACAATCGTTTACCCCTCCACCGGGACATCCACAACAAGAAAGGTAGCCGCAATTACACCTGCGGGTTCGGAGACTACACGGGCGGAGAGCTGTGGTTGGCAGGACAGGACCATGAGGAAGGAAAAACCGGGTACAAGGAGAACACACGTCACCGCATAATCGAGTTCAGTCCCGATACATGGCATGGAACATGTGAATGGGAGGGAAAAAGAGTGATTCTGACAGCATACACGACTCGGAGTTGCGATGATCTTGATCAGACGGTGCGTAAGAGCCTTACCCAACTAGGTTTCCCCCTTCCCCTGAAGCCATCCGGAACGCGTGTCCCGGAGCACGGGGTGTATGAAACCCACGAAACCGAAGAAGCCTATGTTCAGGAACCGACCCGAACGAGCCAGGACCAGGAAACCAAGCGCATTCAGAAACAACTCTACTTGTTACATGCCGCGACAGGACATGGGAGTATCCGTCATCTTGTTGAGTCATTGAAGCGTCGAGGGGCTTCGGACAAGGTGTTAGAAGTGGCCAAGCAATTTAGGTGCAGTGTTTGTGAAGAAAAACGTAGAGTGCAGCCTAGGAATCTTGCGTCATTGGAACCCCTTCCACCCAAGTGGCATACTGTTTCAGCGGACGTTGGTAATTGGCACAACCCAACTACAGGTGAACATGTGCAATTTCTGGTGGTCATAGATGAGTGCACTCGTTTCCGTACGGCGAGAATCTTGACCCGAGGATCCAAACAGCAGCCTTCCGCGTCAGCGTGTCTTCAGTACTTTCAAGAGGGATGGGTTCAGTATTTTGGGTTACCTAGGACTCTGAGGTTAGACCCCGCGGGGGCTTTCAGGAGCCAGACCATCGAAACCTATTGCGATAAGCACAGTATCTACCTTGACTTAGTGCCGGCTGAAGCGCACTGGCAAGTAGGAACAGTGGAACAGGCCGTTCAAGGGCTGAAACAGTTGATGGACAAGCTTCATGAGGAGGACTCCGAGATTTCATCGGAAGAAGCACTCGCCACAGCTGTGAGGACTTTTAACCATAGGGAACAGATTCGAGGGTTTTCTCCGGGTCAATTGGCTTTAGGTAGAAACGGGGATGAGTCGGATCGTTTTGTGCCTACGGCCAATGGACTTCCACCCGATCTTCTGGTGGAGAATGCTTCAGGGGAGTTTGAAAGGGACGTTCAGCGAAGAGCAATTGCCGAGCGGGCACATGCGAGCTGGCACGCGAACCAAAGGCTCCTAAGGGCCCAGCACTCCCGACCTCGTCGGGCTTTCAACTACGAACCAGGGGAATTAGTCTTCTTCTGGAGATGTCAAGAAAGTAACAAGAGTAGGAGAAGCCCAGGGGGAAAACACGGTAGGTTCTTAGGACCTGCTAGAGTGCTTGCTACCGAAACCCGTCGTGACGAAGTTGGAAACCTCAGACCTGGCAGTGCAGTTTGGTGTGTTCGAGGCCGACAACTGATTAAGTGCTGTCCTGAACAGTTACGGAGAGCCTCTGAGAGAGAAGAGTTAGTGGAAGAACTGTCTCAGGACAAACGGGCCCCATGGACCTTCACCAAAGTTGCGGAAGAAATCGGAGGTAACCAGTATGAGGATATATCCCGAGAAGCTCCCGACGATATTGAATGGAACCGCGCCCAAGACCCGACCCAGGAAGCTCCTCCTACCAGACACCGGATTACCCATAAGCGACCTCCTCCCCAAGCTCAGCCCGGTGATGATGATGCTATGGGAGAGGCTGCAAGTGCCGCGCGACCACGTCTACAGGAGAACCAACAACAGGCCAGTTTCGCAGACCATGGGTGGTGGAATCAAGTTCCACACGAATCATGGAATCAGGAGCCGGTGGAGTTCTGGATGCATTCGGATACGGCTGTTGAGGTTGAGGTTGAAGTGCCACAGTCCAATCGGGGATTGAAGCAGATGTGTCAAAACTTTGAAGGGTTCTTTGTGGGGGCTTTGAAGCGGAAGGCCGTAGAGGTGTGTGAACGGAAACTTAGTCCTGAGGATCGCGCTAAGTTCCAAGAGGCCAAGACTACTGAAGTGAAGAATTTTATCGCCGCGAAAGCTTTCCAAGCACTCCCTAGCCATTTGCAACCATCGGCAAGCCAGGCGGTAGGAATGAGATGGATTCTTACGTGGAAAAACAAAGAAGATGGCAGCAGAAAAGCCAAGGCGAGGGCGGTGTTGTTAGGATACCAAGACCCTTCATACGAGCACCGCTCAACAACCTCTCCTGTAATGACGCGTCAGACGCGTCAGATGTTTCTCCAATATGCGGCCTGGAAGAAGTGGACCATGAAGAAGGGGGACGTTTCAGGAGCGTTCCTACAAGGACGGGAATATCCGGATCTTCTTCATTGCATTCCGTGTCCAGAGATTTTGGCTGAAATGGGATTGCCACCGGGTTCAGTGACTCAGCTCAAGCGAGCCTGTTACGGATTGGTGGACGCGCCTCTTGAGTGGTATCGGTCTGTAGATAGCTTCCTCAAGGAGTTAGGCTTCGTGAGATCGTGGTCAGACCCCTGCGCTTGGCTCTGGAGGGTTCAAGGGACTTTGAGAGGGGCTATTTCCGGTCATGTTGACGATTTTCTGTTCATGGGGGATGACAATGATAAGGAATGGCAGGAAATTCTGAGGAAAATCCAAGAAAAGTTCCGTTGGGGCGATTGGGAGTCGGGAAGTTTCGTTCAGTGTGGGGTGAAGGTTACTCAGACCAAACAAGGTTTCGAGCTTTCCCAACCGGACTACACGCGTGACATCAAAGAGATCCCGCTCAATGCGAGCCGACGGAAGGAGGATGATAGTCCTATCAATGAGCGAGAGAGAACGCAGCTGAGAAGTTTGTTAGGTGCACTAAGTCTCACTAAGTTGGCATGCGCAACAGGTTGCTCCACATTTCTCTGCCGAAGTGTCATTGCTGCTCTCAGAAACCACTGAGGGAACTGTTCAAACTGTGAAGAAAGCCAATAGTTTGTTGCGACAGGCACACCTGAGGCAGGATCACAAGATGCTCATTCATGGCTTCACACCCGACACCCCCCTGGGCATTTATGCATGGGTGGATGCGGCCAACCAGAACCGAGTGAAAGGAGGAAGCACACAAGGAATCTTTATAGGTTTTGCTCCATTAGCGCTTGCTGCCGGAGAAGTGACAGAAATTTCGCCCGTCAGCTGGCACTCCAGCCATTTGGATCGAACCTGTAGGTCTCCCGGCTCTGCAGAAGTGCAGGCGGCCGTCAATGGAGAAGACTCCTTGTACTTTGCACGGTATCAGTGGTCTGAAATGCTACATGGCGAAGTAGATGTGCGACAGCCCAACGATGCGGTCTCTCGGGTGCCCGGCTACCTGATCACGGATTCGAGGAATGTGTACGACAAGCTCACCACAGAAGTTCTGGTGATTAAGGGCGCCGAGAAGAAGTCGAATATCGAACTCTTGAGTGTAAAAGAAGCGCAAATGAGTACTGGAATCCACGTGAGGTGGGTACATTCAGAAGCGCAATTGGCGAACGGACTAACAAAGTCTGGACCCTCACGAGAGTTTGAACTGTTCTATCAGATGCAGGGCCGATGGAGAATTGTCGAGGATCCATCAATGATGTCAGCGCGACGTCGGAAGCAAGCAGGCTTACAGCCGCTGGAAGCAGAGACTAAGGAATCCCATCAAAAGGGAATATCAGAACTCTGAAGATCTTTAGGAGTTTGGGGGCATGCAAGAAACAGCAAACAGTCTGTGTTCTTGAGCTGCATTCCTCGACACAGTCGCTGCCTGCAGCTACGTGACTCGAGAAAAGGATTCCGCTAGAACAGCTTCAGGGGAAGCACTGTGTATCACCGTGCCATTGCGAAGCTGAACCGGATTCTGTATCTTGATACCAAAGCTTGTGATCCGAGGGCTACCGTCCTGTGCTACTAGCAAGCGTCCCGCTTGCAGGGTTTAGGGTTTAAGGTTTAGGGTTTAGGGTTTAAGGTTTAGGGTGTTTTTTTTCGCAGCGCCCCCTTGTTTTCGATATTCAGGCCTGTCGCAAGCAATGCCACAACCTGATCTTTTTTCAATACTGCTTGACAGTCGCCCTAAATCACTAAACCCCTACCCCTAAACCACTCAACCCTAAACCCCTAAGCCATTAAACCCCCTAAACCTTAAACCCCTAAACCACTAAAACCCCTAAACCCTAAAGCCCTAAGCCGCAAAAACCCCTAAAACCCCTAAACCCTAAACTCTAAACCCTCGAAGCACTGGGCTTTAGAACTGAGCCGTTGTGGCGGCCCTGAGCGTTTTTTGAGCCAAGCCGAAGCCTCGGACCGCCTTGGCTGCACGACCTTCGCCCTAGGCCGGTTTAGGGTTTAGGGGTTGAGGGTTTAGGGGTTGATTTAGGGTTTGGGGGTTTAGGGGTTTAGGGTTTAGGGGTTTAGGGGTTTAGGTTTTAGGGTTTAGGGGTTTAGGGGTTTCGGATTTAGGGACAAGGTAACTTTAGGCGTTCGTTGATTTAAAGTTAAGGGTTTAAGTCTCAGGGTTTATAGCCTTTAACTCTACTTTCTAAACCCTAATTCGCTTAAAGCCGAAGACTACCTGTAGTCTACATTGTAGTTCCCTTTTTTGGTTTAACCAATTCTATATGAAGGATCCTAAAAGGTAACCCCAAATAGGAACTACAATGGAGACTATAGGTAAGCCCTACATGAGGCTTATCTTGTCGTCCTCATCGAAGACCGACTCGGATGACCAAGTGAAGGAATCGCAGGGATTCTAAGGGTTAGGGCCCACAAGCTTCTGCTTTGTACAGCTTCGGGCAGGAGCATCTGCCATTCTACAGGGTCTTCTGTCTTCTGCGGTCCTCGAATGTTGGCTTTGGACTCAAGCTTCTAGAGTTGAGTTCAAAGGACTTTGGCAAGTTTGGGGCCCTAAGCCCCAGCAGTCTCTACGCTTGAGGAGGCCTCTTCGAGCACTTGTAAGGCTTCTGCTTTCCAGGCTTTTGGCTGCAGAGTTTCGCGATTTTGTGCTTTCAGTTCAGTGTTTGGGGTTAACGGCGCACCTCGTTTTGGGTTTCGGCACATGGCCAAGGGTGTTATGACATAAGACCATCTCCGGGCAAGAGTCATTGCATAAGGAATGCTCTCACCTGTAAACCTTTTGGCGCCCAATCGTTGTTCGGTGGTTGGGTGGGAGTTGGAGGAAGAAGGCCCTCGCATAAGGCTGCTTTTGGAGTCGGAGTATGCCAGTGACAGTCTCCGATGGGGATCCAATTTGGAGAGCTACCCCTATTTGTTTGGTTTGCGAGACGAGGAACTGGATCGCGAGCGGAGTCGCATCATTGCTCCAAAACAATCTTAGTCTCGAGTTTCGCCTTGTTCTGTCGCAAGCTCTACTTTGCGTTTAGGGTTTAGAGAGCGGGAGATTTTGTAAAACGGTTTCAAGCGTGATTACAAGTATGATGACTTCAACTTGCCACGACTAGACCTCCGTGGTTCTGGAACATGGGGGTCTGAATAATTCGCAATATTCATCCCGAGAGTTCCCGAAGATACTTGTAGTGTAAATCCCAAGTGTATCGGCCGCTACATCAAGATCCTAAGCCGCAGTTAGGTCCCAGACATAGGACGCTGACAACACCCTGGAGGCATACACCCATAAACCGATCGAGAGGTAGCGAACATGATGCACGACTGGTTCTTCAGCATCTTGTTCTCAGCGCCTTGGAGAGAGTTAGGCATGGAAGGAACCCCAAACCCTACACCCTAAACGCTAAACCTTAAGTATATTACAGTATGTTGGTCCAGAGATTCGGGCTGCGTCGGCCATCGCATTATCTTTAATCACTGAAACTGGGACCTACTGTGACCAGTACGAGTTGGGGGGGTTAGGATTGGAGTGGGCTTTAGGGCTTGGGATTTGGGGTTGGTGCTTTCGGATTTGAGGCTTGGCGCCGCATGTACTGTTCTGGGTGTTTTTTGCTCCTCAGGGGTTCGGGTCGTTTTGGCTCCAGGGTTTTCTCATTCTACCGGTATACCTGGCAGCAGGTTTCTTGAGGTTTATCGCTATGGTATGGTGTTTGTAGCCAGGGTACTCATGATAGCATCCAGAAGGTGCACAGCCATAAAATCTGAAGAAACTCCCCAGACCTTTCGTGCCAGAATTTCAGAGCCTGCTCCAATATAGGGGTCTAAATAATTACCTATACTATTGTAGGGGTTCCTTATTTGGATCATAGTATAAGGGGCCCCAAAACCCTATTCTAACTATTCAGGCCCGTAGAATACGCCCTTCCTCAACCCTAAACCCTAAACCCTAAAACCCTAAACCCTAAACCCTAAAACCTAAACCCTAAACCCTAAACCGTGGACCGCCAACCTTCGAAAGATGTGGGGGGTTTTCAGGAAATGCGGGTATCTCATTCCGGGCTCTGAAATTGAGGATTCAAGTAATTCAGGTTTTGTAGAAGTTTCTGTACAAGTATAAAGTATAAGGGTCCCCTAACTTCTGAAACTCTCATTGAGGGTTTCGGGTAGTGGTTTGTGTGCAGGGTGGGTTCGAGCTTTTAGGTCTGTTTTACTTGCTACGGTCTGTCCTTATTAAACGATCCGTGCAATGCAACTGGCTTGCCAAAATGCGGAATTGGGTTTGTGGCTGGGGCGTAGACCTCATAAACCCTAAAACCCTAAAGCCGGGACCATTTAAAACCAGAAAGCCCCGACACCTGGCATGAAAGCCAGGAAACACGGCTCTCTTGCACTCTAGACTCTGAGCCGCGCAACCCTACAAAACCCTAAACCCTAAACCCTCCACCCTCTCGTAAGCATTGTACGAGCTGCTAAACCTAAACCCTAAGCTTTAGGCCTTACGCCCTAAACCCTTAAACCGAAGCAGCCTGCTCAGGACTTGGTCCTTCTCGTTGAGAGGCGTGCGGTTGATCCACAGCATCAGGGGACGTGGAGCAAGTATAGGAGCCCGAATGCTTCTCCGTAGGGTTCCTGATGATCATGTAGCTTCAAACCTTACTATCACTACCATTACTCTGCTACAGCTACAACAGCAAGTACAACAACAACTACAACAAGAACAACAACAACAACTACTACTACTACTACTGCTACTACTACTACTACTGCTACTACTGCTACTGCTACTACTACTACTACTACTACTACTACTACTACTACTACTACTACTACTACTACTACTACTACTACTACTACTACTACTGTTTTTACTGAGGCTGCTATACGAGGCAGTTTTTGAAGCGCTGACTGGCCGTCCTACGTTTTGATCATCGATACTGTGTGTAATGCCGGCGGGGGCCGCTTTTCGAAACATAACAACTACACGCATAGTGGCTTGTTTGCTTCGCTTACCTCGGAAATTAACAGCACCAGGGATGATTTCCAGTCTTTGAGATTGGCTTGTGCTTTCAATATCCTATGTCCCTATCCTCCTGAATAGTGTGTGCTCGCGATTACTGGGTTCTGCAGTGTTGCTGCAACTATCACGACCAGTTGGTGTCTTGCGTCATTAGTGCTGTTGACGATGATGGTTAGCATGTCTCCGATAGATCTGATAATCTGATAGTGATAATGATGATGGTAGTGACGATTCTGCTACTTAGTAAACTTAGTAACTAGGGGGTATAATTAGTAAGTAAGGTAGCTATACTTATAATTACTTGTAACCCCAATTACGATACTTATAACCATACTTACTAAGTCCCATGACCCTCCAAGTAGCAGATTTGATAATCGCGGGCGTTGCGCCCAAAAGTGTACAGCTGGCCGGGCCTACTCTCAATGCCGAAGCCTTGAAGCAGCAAGACCCTTCAGCCCACCCTAAGGACCCTAAACCCTAAACCCTCAAAGTTCCACGGAAAATGGGTGCATGAACAGAAAAACCTCAAGGTTCAAGTCTATACAACTTCCCAGATGCTCCGAAGCTCCTCCATTACAGCAGTACTTTCAGCTTAAACTGCAGAGGGATCCTAAATGTGAGATAAGACCGTAAGGGTTTAGGGTTTAGAGTTTAGGAACCCGAAAAGGGGAGGTTGAGTATGTATCCTTAGTTGAGGGGTTTTGGAGTCTCTGCGCTCTGAAAGTCCTAGAGTCCTAGACCCGTACGCCGAGGTCCTAAACCTAAGCCCCAGCCCCTACAGACCCCAAACCTCAAGTCCTAAGGCTGAACATACGCCACAATCCCTGAAACCTAAACCCTGGCCTCAAAACCCTAAGTCCTAACCCCAAACATCGCGAGAGAAGTGGCCCCGCAGCAAGCAGGTCGGGGAAGGTCACTGCCATAAGCACCAGCAAGAAGCTCAACCATCTTCAGAAGGCTGTCCCTTCAAGGGTTACTGTAAGGGTAAGGGCTCCTTTAAAGGGGAACTGAAAGGGGTTCCTCTAAAGGGGAACTACTTCCTTTAAAAGGGTCAGGGTTCTGTTGAAGGGGTCTAAAGGGGCACCATAAGGGTACAGGGTGAAGCTCAATCATCGCTAGGAGGCTGGGCCAGGCTGGGTTTATCGCTTTTGGTTTGGGGTTTGGGGGTTAGGCGGCTTTCGGGCTTGGGGATTCGTAAGCCCCAATTAGGGGTTAGGCTTTAGGGTATTAGGATTCGGGATTTCGGTTTTCTTGTCTCACCACCCGGTTTTGGGTTTAGGGTTTAGGCTGGTTATCTTCTTCCAGGCATCACGAGCATCATGACTGCGAGTGTGTGGTCGTGCGGGACAGGTTGTGTCAAAACGCCAAAGAAGGCACACCAAGCCCATAGCTCTCATCACCTTTCACAAACACATCGCCGCATCGCAGCCGGCAGAGCCAAACGCAGACCAGTTGTGACAACTTGCTTGCTCGAGCATGGACCCACCTTATCCGAGATCGCAATCCACAGTCAACCAAGGGCCAAGGAACGCCAAACTCCCAAATATCACAATTTTTGGCGACGGACGTCGGCGGAAGCCACACTTTCTGCTGGTTTAGGGTTGCGCACGCGAGCTGCACATCGTCAAGCAACAGCTTCTGACGTGGGCAGTTCCCGTTCCAGCTACCTCGCTTGCTCCCCTGATATCCATTGAATCCAATCCCTCTGGATCCACAGCTGCGTTGAGAGAGCGCTCAGCAGAATGAGACCAACGAAACAGAAGACAGAAAGGATCGAACAGTCGACACCACAACGTAGAAGCCTAAATAGATAGTAGCAGCTTAGCAATACAAGTCCTTAGGGTTGCTCATATTTCCTGAATGTAGCATCGCATGCCACACCCCAATACCTTTCTCTAATCTAAGTCTTCCGGCAGCAAAACCAAACAACATGGCTTAGTTGAGCCTCCAGCCCTTAACCTTGTACCGCAGGAGCCTGAGGTGTGGAGCCGTGCAAGTGCAGCGCCCTTCTATAGGACCAATACTATTTTTGGGGGTTCCTTATTCTAATTATAGTAGAATGGGCCCCAAAACCCTATTCTAATTATTCAGGCCCCTATACTACTTTGTTAAACGAGGCCCTGCAAGTGAATGCTGCCCTCTGTCTGCCAGTTGTCGCTCAATCGGGTGCCTTGTGAAAAGGCCTTCACGCAGGACTGCTGTGTTACTAAAGGGGCCTAAGTAATTTCTAAGAGCATCTTTGGGGTTCCTTATTATAAGTGCAGTATAATGGTTTTAAGGTTTTAGCCTTCAGGGTTTAGGGTGTAGGAGGGCCAGGGAACTCAGGAATTAGTAAAGCTTAGCAAAAACTGTACTTGATTACAGTTGGAGGAGTTTGAGGATAAGGAAGGGTGTAAAGGGGTCGAGGGTTTAGCTTGGGCAGCTGTCAAACACTGGCACCTGTTCTTTTGCAGACGGCTGCCATGGCAGTTCTTGATCCGCCCTAAACTTTTGCAGCATCAGCAAGTCCATCGACATCAGAGGGCATAAGCAATCTTCGCGCTTCGGTTACTGTTTCTTTTTGCATTCAGGGGTTCTTGAAGCATACCGGGCTTCCAAAAGAAACGCAGCGTGGGCGAAGACAGGGAGTCAGGCTTCGGTCGATGCTTCGATGAACAGCTGGTGCACCCGGCTGGAGGGCACACCGAGCATCATCTTGCCACAGGCGATGGCCCTGAAGCAGACGATCCAGGATCTGAGCTTCGAGAACACGCTGTCAGCGAAAATGCTTGCAGTTGTTGGAAGCAAAGTGATGGCCACTACTGTGGCAGCGGCCGCTGCAGAGAACCCGCTTAAGAGGAAGGAGGAGTCCAAACTCCAGACCTTGCTGAAGCTGGAAAACTTCATCATGGTCACTGGGTGGTCTGTGCTGCAAAAGGGACCAGCTTTCTGTAGCCTTTGAGCTGAGCAGATCGAATGATCCACTGCCGAGTGTAGAGATAACATAAGGCAGAAGAGTTTATGGTGTGGGGTTGATTCTCTTTATGATTATCGGTCTACTGTGGAACTTAGTTCTTCGTACGGCGAGTCTGATAAACGTATATTTCGTTCAGCTAGCTGTGATGCGGCAGTGCAGAAATCTCCAAAGTCGCACACACGCGCAGTTTAACCCCCAAACCCTCACCCCATAAACCCCGTAATTATCCGAAACCCTCAAAACCAAAAACCCAGAAGTGTGAACCCGCAAGCCTTTACCCAAAGCCCGAAACCCTAAACCGGTATCTCTCAACCCTCACCAACTAAGCCCTGAACTTACCTAGACCCTTAAACGTAGTACGTTTTTTTTATTACTTTAGTTTCTTGCTGTCGGAGCCTAACCATAAAGTAAGTCATCCAATAAGAAGGCACTACATTTAAAAATCTAGGTAGAGTGGATCCGAGTGAGCAGGATGACCGGCAGAAGCTTCTCGATGTCCTTAGGGCAGTGCCCACCCAGGGTGAGAAGGCCAGCTGCTATGGGGGCCTAAATAGATACCAATACTATTTTGGGACCCTATAGTAAGGCTTTCGATGGTTTTGACGTAGGGCTTAAAGGTTTAGTAAATTTGGGGGCAGGATTCAGGGCTTTGGCGATTGGATTTAGTGGGTTTGCATTTAGGGGTCCCGGGTGTGGCTTTCGCCGTTTTTCAATCTTTACGGCCTGGAAGATAGGAATAAGGTTCAAGCGTTGAGGAGTTTGTGTGCTTCAGCTTTTGCGTTTCGATGGGCCAATGTTCTGTCGCACTGATACGCTGCAAAACCCTGTTCGATACGGAGACTATTGAACTTTAAGCCTGAGACTTCAAGCCTTGAACTTTAAACCCCTAAGCTTAAGCCCCATGCACAGCTAGCCTCCCGCCTGGCCCCAAGAATGTGATGAGTGGACTCCCGTCCCAAATCTGGGCTTTGAGTTTTCAAGGCGCCGGTTCATGAATGGTTTAGGGATTTAGGGTTTAAGGGTTTGGGGGTCCAAGGGTTTAGGGGTTTAAGGGTTTAGTTTAGGGGTTTAGTTAGGGTTTAGGGGTTCAAGGGTTTAGTGTTTGGGGTTTAAGGGTTTAGGGGTTTAGGGGTTTAAGGGTTTAGGAAGTTTAGGGTTTAGGGGGTTAGGGTTTGGGGTTTAAGGGTTTAGGGTTTAGGGGTTTAAGGGTTCAGGGTTTAGGGGTTCAGGGTTAAGGGTGTGGCGCTTGGGGCTGAGGCCCAGGGTCTAGGGTGTAGGACATAGGGTTCAGGGTTTAAGGTTCAGGGCTTTGCAAATGGATAAGGTGCTGATTTTCGATTATCGAACCTTAAGCCCTAAACCCCGGTTTTCGGCTGTGGCGTAGGTTTAGGGTTTAGCAAACCCTACTTTACTGTAGGTTCTTATGATAAACCCTTACATGGAACTTATAACAGGGACCCTACGAAAAGTAGGCCTTGGTAGGTTAAGGTAAAGGTGACTAACTGTCTGAGCTTAAGTTGAAGTTTGGAGGCCTGAGGCTTGTGCGTCATTCTGCCGTCGTAGCTGAGTAGGTAGCCTTTAACCTTTCAGTTCTGGGGTATATCAGTATATTCCCAGGGCTCTACGGCCTGAGAAATTAAGGCTTTGCGGCCCAAAAACCATACTTATATGAGGCTTTTCGGCTATTTTGATCCTAGTTACCTATATGTAGGCAAATATGGCGGGAGGACAAGAGTTTCGACCTACGTTGAGTTTTCATGATTTTTCTCTTGTCTCAAGATCTTGCGGAGTAGCGGAGTCCCGACAAGTGTGCATTACGTGGCCTGGCCAGTGAAGTATTACTTGCCCCTGGCTAAAATTAATGTAGGGGCCTTACTAATTCCCTATACTACTTTGGGGGCTGTTTATTAAAATTATAGTATAATTGGCCCCGAAACCCTATTCTAGTTATGAAGGCCGCTATATGATACTTTTGTTCCGGAGGAGTGCCCTGTGGGTCCTGTTTGTTAAGACTCTACGGGGCAGTGGGGGCCTGTGTGCCACGAACAACGAATAGGTCAAACTGTCGTCCTACCGCAGTATACCGACTTGAGGATCATGGGACTTAGTAAGTAGGGTTATAATTACCTTAATTGGGGCTATAAGTAATTATGAGTATAGTTACCTTGATTATAACCCTAGTTACTAAGTCCCATGAACCTTTAAGTATCAGACTTGTAAGATAGCCAGATTTCCTTTCCCTCGCCCAGGCACCTGGGCAAGTAGGCTACACCCTAAATTCTAGCACCTGAGCCCAACATTTTAAAGCTGTATCTCCCAACCCTAAGACACACTCCCTCTGGGTCTCCATTGTAGTTCCTTGTTTGGGTTACCTTATGGGATCCTATACATGATAAAAGGAACTACAATGGAGACTATAGGTAACCCCTAACCCTAAACCTAAACCCTGAAACCCCAAACCTTGAAACCCTCAACCCTATACCCTAAAACCCTAAAACCCTAAACTCTAAATTCTAAACCCCTAAACCCCAAAGCCCTAAAGCCCGAAACAATAAGACCCAAGCCTTAAAAGCAAGCCCCCCCCTGCCCTGGCAGCTTGTCGTCGCTCTCCCTTCGGAGATCCACTTTGGACCCATCCAGGAGGTGCCATGCTATCACGCTAGGGTTTCGGGTTTTAGGGTTTGGGGTTTAGGGCCTAGGGTTTAGGGTTCCGGGGTTTAGGGTTTCGGGGTTTAGGGGTTTAGGGTTTTCGGGTTCAGGGGTTTAGGGGCTTATGGGTTGGGGGTTGAGTAGTATATTTGTTGGGGTTCCGGTGTAGGTGTTGACGGGTTGGGGCTTGAGGGGTTCAAGGTGTGGCGCGCTACGGTACGCCGAGAAGCCCACTCAGCACATATACCTCTATGCCTTAGAACTGTAATGTCGTAATCCCTTTCGGAGTGGGCTTCTAGGGATTCTAGGGCATTGCAGTCCGGCTGCAGTTCTTTCAACGCGGCTGCTTTGAATTGCGATTTGCTTCCGTCGTACTGCCGTTCTGGCTGCATCTGGCTGATGGGGGACGGAAGTGCGACGGGTTGGCACGATGGGAGTCTGAGAAATATAGGGGCTCACAAACACGCTGAGTAGCAGAATAAGTCTTTACAAGGACCCGAAAAGGAATTCCGAGAACCTCGACTGAACAGCATCATGCGCAGTCAACACTCGCACGCGATTATCCTTATTCCCTTGAAGTGACAAGGCTACGTAGCTAAACACTGGTGGCGATATTGTCAAGATGCTGGCATTCGTTCTTTGGGGTGGGGGAGTTTCGGGTGAAAGTCACTTGCATCAAGGATGGTTGGTTTCATCCGATGGTTTGAGTGTTCGCCCACCCCGTACCGTATGCTGGGACTTTCATTCGCACCGTTAGGGTCCATAAGCCCCAAACCCGTTTCCTTGATGTCTCTTCGAGTCGCTATCTTGTGCATGTGTGACGCGAACATACCTGTCTGTCTTATGTCTTTGTGGCATGATACGATGATTATACGGTTAGCTTTATTACACCATGCCGGACAGAGGTTGCAACTGGACACGTGACTCGAGCCTTCTCACTGTTGATATGTTTCCCGAAGTGCCTAAAGCAAGGAGGCCAGCAAGACCATCTCCGCAGCAGATTTCTTGCAGGCCGGCCGTCAACCCATGTTCAGATCCAGACGAGTCCGATTGAGGCCAACAGTAGGAAACACCGAAACCAACATTGACATGTATCACCCGCTGTTTGATTGGCACCAGTATCCACTTGGAAACGAAAAAATTCTGTATGTTCGTGCTCACCACAGCCATCTGCAAGCTCGTGACTTATAACAACGTGATTATGTCAATGTTTAGTGTTATGGCTGCAACAGCCGCAATGCTATGTTGCAGTGGTCAGAGGTAAGGTACAAGACACGCTCAGTCAATACTCGCATATGGACCTGGTACATTATATCTCTGGGAGGCGCTTGTGGTAGGTTTCGCTTCACAGATATCTAGTGCTTTCGGGTTTCTTCTGCTATGCGGATTACTTCAATTGTCAAAGCACTGTTGGTGGGACGAGTAATCTATGGCTGCGTCCGTACAATCCCCGCACGACGAGCAGGCATGCGATCTTGAAACTACATTTGTCGCAAGCATAGTTATGGACTCAAGTGACGGGGCCAGCAGCTCGACAGTATATGCCAGCTTATTCAGCGCTAATCCGACCCCTCAAACCCCAGCACCAACGCTTCCCAGAGATGCCAATATCCCTTAAAGGAATATACCTTACAGCATAATATGAAGGCCCCTATATATTCAGGTATATTCCGTAGTTAAGGGATATTGGGATCTCTGAGTTTGACTTAGCTGATTTCCGGACTAGGCCATGTTCCGTTTTGATGCAGCGATTATGTTGGGTTTGATTCAGAGCTTCCCAGAGCCTCCAATATCCCTTAACTAAGGAATGTACCTTGAATTGTGGTAGAATCCCGAATATGATTTAAGGTATAATCCTGAATTAAGGGATCTTGGAGTCTCTGGGTTTGAGTATGCCGCAGCCGAACATCAGGGTCCTGAAAATTGGAATAGCCTACACTCGCGCTTCGAGGCCAGTAAGAGTTCACAGACATCGGTGGCCTAGACGGAACAAGTTTTGCTGCACAGGGAGAGCCAGAGCTATCATTTGGCTTTTAGGGTCGAGTTCCTCGCATTTTTCCTTACAACTGACTGCAGCTGCGGATGAGCCTTTCCTTCTCAATTCTACTCCTGGATGAACCTCCATATCTGCGCATCACGGATTTCGGCTTGAGCCACAGGGCTTGTGTGCAGACTTTTTGGGCCAATGGGTCGTTCGCAGCGGGGCCAGTGCGGTCAGGAACGCATGAGGTCATCCCAGGAACACAGCAGGGCGAGAAGGAGAAGGAGTTCGTAGCAATTCCGAGTGTCTGTTGCCTTGGCTGCAGTTCCGGCGCTTCTTGCCACAAATTCCTGAA